GTAGACTTCAGTGATGGGGCCCATGGAGAATGACATGATCAGACTGGCCCCTAAGCACGACCACCGTGTGTGTGTGTGTGTGTGTGTGTGTGGGGGGTGTCTGTGACATAATGAGGGGAGACAAGGAGGGGTTGGTCAGTAGAGGATGAGTCTGCGTGAGCAGGGCAGGCTGGAAGCTGAGAGTCAGGTGTTCACATGTGTGTACCCTCGCTAGGACCCACAGGCTCAGGAAGCCTGGGACCAAGGCCCACACCAAGTTCAAGCTACAATCAGGGACTGTGGTGACTCAGGGGCGCTCCTCCCCCACCCTCCTCCAGGGACACTCATTTTTCTGTCCCTTTTTTACTGTTCTATGGCCCAGAGTCCCAAAAATAGGACCCCTGGGCTAGAAGCTTACTTAACCCCTTAGGAATCAGAGGAAAGAGTAAGTTTGTTTCAATGGATGGAGAATCTTGAGAGTAGCCTTTAGACCCCCAGGGGGCCGCTTGCTCCGATGCCGACCAGAGCTTGCTGGGGTGTGTAGTGGACAGCTGGTGACACACCCAGGAAGCCAGGGGCAGTGGGGAGCTGGGGCCTTCCTGCTGTCTGCTAGGCATGCAGCCTCCCGTCGCTGGGGACGCCTCCCTCTCTTCCCAGTGTGTGCAGCGACTCGGGATAATGTTGATATTTCCACTCTCCTGCAGGTGGCGCCACAATTTAGGTTTTTAAGGCACCAGCGGCCTGAGGTTTTCATCCAGCGCTCGGTGCACCGCACAAAACCCAGCCAAGGGGCCAGCTCTTGGGGGAAAAAAAATTTCTCTATAGCACCACCAGGCTCCGGTGATTTATTTAACAAGCAAACCTGGCTTTTATCAACTTAAATAGCAGTTCTGTTCCTGGGCTAATAAAATGGTGGTAGCTAAGTGAGGGAAAACTTAAGGTTTTCTTCTCCTCTCTCCTATTAAATCTGGCCCTTTTATTCCACCGTGAGAGATCGGCCAATACTTTTCTCCTGAAGGCCCTCAATAAACCACAACCAAATTGCCATTAAAAAATCGCCTTCTTAGAAGATAGGACTTTATGAAGCAATTTGACTTTCAGTTCCCCGTCTTGTGGCCGTGGGGCCGGGCAATGACTACCTGTTTTCTCACCAGCCTGGGGTGGAAGAGGTGAGGTACAGATCCGGTGTCAGCTGGGGAGAAAGCTTGGGTCCCTCGTCACCCCTCACCAGCTGGCAGGGGCTGCAGGAGGCTTGAGAGGGAGAAGGGTTTGTAATTAATGCAGAAACCCATTTTGCACTGTTACAGAGCTTGCCCTTCCCAGCGTGTCTGTTCATAAAAGAAGGGTCAAGACGACAGAGGACCCCCCCCCAATTATGCCATTTAAAAAAGCATACATCCTTCTGCAAAGCAATGCTAATTCCTTGGGTGTGTGTTGCGCTTAGAGTTTCCAAACGCATGAATGGGTAACATCTCCTTTGAATGGCACTACCTGTAAGGGCTGAGTCGGGCAGGTGAAAATGTGACATCTCCAGATTATCGAGCTCGTGGGTGGCAGTGCTCAGACTAGGACCCTGGTCTTCACACTTCCAGTGTAGAGTCCTACTCATCCCACCCCAACCCACTCTCCAGCCTTGAGAGAGCAAATCCAAGGAGCCATAATAATAACAATAATAGTAATAATAATAAAAATCAAGCCCTGCACAGTTGCTAATTTGACCCTTCCTGGTCTCGCTCACAATGACATTATAACCACCCTTTCAAAATCCCCCTCATTACTAACTGGAAGGGAAGGAGGGTAAAGGTGGTTGGCCCAATGGCCCTGTTAATGATGAAAGAAACAGCCGGGGCCCCTCACCTGCCCATTGTTGGACCAGCTTTTTATCCCACTCCTTTTCTGGCCATTTGGTTCTGTTATTACTCTTCAGGCACCACATGGCATCCGTGTTTCTGAATGAAAATAAATAACACCACACACTAGGCAGGAGATAAAGAATAATAAATATATTTTATTTGCCACCTCTAAAAAAGGTCTTTGACTTCCCATCCATCCATCAGAAAATGACCCTGGGGCTCACCAGCAATATTCGTGTGTGTGTGCGCGCGTGCACACACACACACACACACACACAAGCACAGGGAGGCTACAGGAAGGAAAAATCAGTTGTATTAAAAATACATGTTAGAATGGCAGCAAAGCTGTTTTCTTGCTTCCCCTCTCTTTTAGCATTTTTATGACATACCCTGAAAGCCGAGTGGCAAGCAGAGATTTGAAAGGCTTGCCTGCCCTGCTCCCCACCCCACTGCTTTTATTAAGCCATGGTCCGTAAGTGACCCATTATGGTTTTCTATGTGGCTGTCTGCCTGTCACCTCCGGGAAAGGCCTGTGATGGTCCCGTACAGCAATTTTAGAGCGGATGGCTCAGAGTGGGGTCAGGACCATGTGAGGACAGCCTTACAGGAGCCTGAGCCTGGGCACCTCTTTAAATTTTGCATCCTGGGGACCTCGCCCTGGCTTCGGTCTGCCTAGACAGGCATTTGGCCCTGGGCTTCCTCTGCCTGGATGCGAGTCCGAGGAGCAGCAGCATTGAGTTATTTTGTTATGTGTTTCTCTGGACTTCCGAAACTAACCTGATATTGTGTGCTTTATCTGGAGTCTGGGATCCAGGGTTTCTGAGAATAGAGGAGCCAGATCAATGTATTAACGCCAGCTAATAAGATAACTCCTCGCTGCTTTCTGGGCCATGCAATACTCGGCGGAGGACCAGAGGCTAAAAGGGCTCCGCTCTGTCTCCCGGAATACCCTCTAACCAAACTAGCCAATGTCTGGTGTCCTCCTGGCGCTGGCGCGGCTCATCTTTGCACGGAGGCGCCCACCTTTGAGAGCCAAGCTTCAGCAAGGCCGATCTAGCCGGGCCCTGCCTGACCTGCCCACGCGGCCCGCCCCGGGGGGCTCCTAGAGCTCGTCGTGGTTCTTGCTCCTTTCCAAGACTCCTCGGTTTACAACTCGGATTTCTGTGAAAATCTAACCCCTACAGGAAGGTGTAGGGATTTATGCCGTCGTCAATCATTTCCACCTAATGGCAAGGTTCTCGGGAGATGTTTTGATGGGAGGGACAGTAATGGGCAGGAAGCTGGCTGCCTATGGGAAAAGGAAAGTTGAGGAGGAGTGTGAGGGGGGAGGCCGACCCCCGCGGCTCGGCTGGCAGCTCCTGGGGGATGGTCGCCCACGTGGGGAGGCAATGGTGGCACAGCGGATGGTTGTGCGCTGGGACTCTGGTGGCGGTAGCGGTGCGGGCCGGGGCCTTAAGCGTGGGGTGGGTACCCAGAGCGGGGATCTCTTAGGCTTCTCCTGGTGGGTGGGGGCACATTCCCAGGAGGGCGAGGCAGAGGGCTCAGGGGTGGCGCCACCCACTTCCCATCCGGCCTCTCTCCTCTCTGCCAGACGCCTGCCTAAACCGCAGCGACGCGGTGGTTCCTTTCTTCGGACCTCGCAGAGTGCCCTGACGTCGGCATTGTCTGTTTGGCTGCGGTCTGGGTTTCGGAGACGGGGAGCCAGGTCAGCCTCTCCGTACACACCTGGAGAGGCGAGTCAGGTTCCGGAGCAAGCTGCAGGGCCCTTGGCCATTCATGCCCGGAGCTCCCCCAGCCTCGGTCCGTGGGGGCCGCAGTGGGGGGGGGTGTGCCTCGGTGGGGTGCGTGCGCCCGCGTGGGCTCCGGGCACCCGGGGGCCCTGCGACCGTCGGCGTGCCCATCCCGAGGAGGCTGAGCGCTGCCCCCTTCCGAGCGCGCGCCCCGCGCCCCTGCCCCCCGCGCCCCCCGCGCCCTCCGCGCCCCCCGCGCCCCGCCCCCCTCCGGCCCGCGCAGCTCCGGGCAGGGGCGCCGAAGGTCCGCGCGGGGCGGCGCGGGGCGCGGGCCCGGGCCCCGGGGGAGGCGCCCCTGCCCCCTCTGCCGGCCGCCCTCCGACGGTCTGGGTGTCAGCCGCGAGCTCCGAGCCAGCCGGGGCGAGCCAGAGAGGGAGCGGCGGCGGCGGCGGCGGCGGCGGCGGCGGGGGAGGGGAGGAGGCGAGGGAGGGAGGGAGGGAGGGAGGCAGGGAGGGAGGGAGGGAGGCAGGGAGGGCGGAGGGAGGAGAGGAGGACCCAGAGAGCGCCAGGCAGCTGGAGTTTTTGCAGCGCTTGGCCGGGCTTCAATGCACAGCAGCAGCGAGCCGCGGCGGCAGCAGGCAGCCCGGGAGCTCCGGCGGCGGCCGAGCCAGCGGCGGCCCCGCTCCCTGCCCCCTGCAAACTTTGCGAGCGGCCCGCCCGGGGGGCCGGGGGCGCGCCCGGGAGGCCCGGCTCGGCCCGCGCCCGCGCTCTCCGCCGCCGCCACCGCCGCAGCCCCGCGCCTCCCCGGGGAGCAGCCGGCGGCTCCCGCGGCCCCCCAGCCCCGGGCCCGCGGCCCTGCCCGGCGGGTGCCCCGGCAGGGGCGGGGGCGGGGGCGGGGGCGGGGCCGGCAGCAGCAGCAGCGGCGGCGGCGGCGGCGGCGGCGGCGGCGGCGCGGCGGGCCGGGGGCAGCCGGGGGGCGGCCGCCGCTGCCCGGGGAGGCGCGCAGAGGCGCCGAGAGCGCTCCCCGGCGGGTCCCCCGCGCACTCGCCGCGCCCGGGCACCGGCCCGACCCGGCGAGCATGGGCGGCGCGGAGTGACGGCGCCGTGTGCCCGCCCGCTTGGCATCAAGGACATTCAGCCCGCGGGGTGGGGACGCAGGGGGCAGCCCCGCGCCGCCGCCACAGCCCCGGAGCCGCCGCCGCCCGGGCCCCGCGCTCCGGCTCCGGCCCCGGCCCCGCGCCCCGGCCCCGCGCCCCGGGCTGGGTGGAGGGCAGCGGCGCTCGGAGCCGCCCAGTCCGCCGACCTTTCTGTTGGACCTTCCGCCCCGCTCGGCGCCGCCGGGGGAGCTGTCAAGCCCCGCAGGCTGTGGTCTCGCCCCCCGCCCGCCTTGCCTGCCCCGGGCTCCCGGCGCCTCGGTGGAGCATTCGCGTCCGGGGCGGGGGCCGGGGCGGGGGCCGGGGCCGGGGCCGGGGCCGGGACGCAGCCCCACGCGCGCACGCACACGCCCGGAGGGGGACGAGAGGCCGCGGCGCGGGCTCCATCCGCAGTGTCAATGCGGCGCTCCCGCTGAAGGAGGCGACGGCGGCGCTTCCAGGTAAGGAGCCGGCGGCGGCGGAGATGCGCGGCGCGGGCCGGACCCCCGGGCCCCGAGCCAGCCCGCGGCAGGCGCACACACACCCGCGCGCACGCTCGGCCACACACTGGCACGCGCCGCGCACACGCACCTGCCCGCGTCCACCTGGACGCCCGCCCCGGTGCGGCGCGGCCCGAGCGGGCATTTCCCCTGCTCCTGCTCCTCCGAGGACCCGGACTCCTCCCGCTGCCCAGGACTTTGGGGAGGGATTCCGTGTGTCGCCGCGTCTCCCTCCCACCGCGGGGGGCCGAGGCAGCGACTGCTCGGTTCCCGGCCGCCCCCCCCCCCCCGGGCATCTCCTGCCGCCTTTCAAACCGGGAGAAGCGAGGGAGCCTGGGGGGAGACCCGCCCAGTGCCGCCTCTGCCCCGTGGCCGCTGGACACGCTGCGGTTTCAGCGGGGCCGGACCCACAGATCTCCGGGCGGATATCTGCGGAGCGGGCCGGCCCCGCGTGCGGGGGGAGGCCGCCGTGCCGACGGGCTGCGGTTCTGCGGGGCGGCGCATGTGGAACAGACGCGGCGTCTCCCCGGTGAGAGGCAGCACAAACGCCGTTCGGAAGCGCGGCACCGCTTCCCTGCGAATGCGCCGGGATTTCAGGCAGGAAGGGGCTCCAGCGTCGCATGGGGCTGTTGCCGGTCTAGGGAGGGTATGTGGGGACCGGGTCCTCCAATAAGACGCATGACCTATCCGCCTCTGCAATCTCTGGGCACCGGCAAGCCCCCAGGACCCAGGGACACAGGGCTCGGGTGCCCTCTCCGCCTCTCTGCCCTTCCCTCTCCGCGGGTGGGAAAGCGTGGGGCTGCTTTGCCTGTGCCTCTGGCTTACACCTGTCACATGCCTTCGGAGGTGTGTGTCTGAGAAACCGACCGGCAAGGGGCCGGGAGCAGGGTGTAGCGCTGGAAGGCATGAGGGTCGCCTCTGCTGTCACCACCTCGGCAATGCCCCCCTATAAGGGGACCAGGCATTCTTGACCAGGCTTGCCAGTGTTCCCCGGAGCCAGGCTGCTCCCGACAGTGTAGGAACCACTCTCCAGAGGCCCGAGGGTCAAGGTTCTATCTCCCCGAAGCTTCTCCTTTCCTTTTCGTGCCGACTGAGATTTCACAGGCTGCTCATTTTTCAAACTTTTTTCTGGAGGAGGTAGGAGGTGGTGGGAGCTCCAGAAGGGCTTTTTGGCAGTTTCCATTTAGGGGGTCAAAGAGCATTTCATTTGGGCTCAGTTGTTGTAGGGGGAGGGACGTGAGATCCAAGTTAGACATTATTTTGCAGTTGCATGTAAATAGAGCAGGGTCCTGTGTTGCCCTTGCCCCATAGCTGTCCCTTTTGGGGGTAGCTTGTTGGGCAGCCTGGCAAGAAATGGGATGAACTTGTACCCTTTATGCGAGATCATGTGTTCAGAGTGTCCTACAAACTCACCAGTGGGAAAAATATGTTGGGAGTCTTCCAGAACATGAGGAGAAAGGAGTCAACATTCTTTCGAACAAGGGGCCTCAGTGTTGGGCACAAGATTTGGTTGATGCTGGAAATCCTGAAGATGGGTGCTGAAATAAAGGGCTCTCTCCCGCACCCCCATCTCCGCTGTTTTCAAACTTTGCCAGCTCCCGCAAAGGTCTCAGCCAGGCTGGGGAGGAGAACAGCAGACGCCCCTGGGGGCAGATTGTGTTCCTGCTGTGTGCTGTGTGAACTGCCCTTTGATTGATTGGAAAGGGTAGATGGAATACAGCAAAGCTCTCCCAGTGGGGAGAACCCAGTAGGGGGAAGGAACATCATTTTCTTTTTTTTTAAGAATGGTGTGTGTGTACACACACCCAGATATATGCGTGGTTTCTCAAAGAGCCTAGCTCAATGTGTTCGGCTCGTCCAATGTGTGACAGCAAGACCCACCTCTAGAACTGAATCATTTCCCGGCAGAACTGGATCATTTCCACACGCATGCCCTCTGAGTGCGTGGACAGGGAGGTCCCGCGTATGCGTAGAGGAGCACATGGTTTTCAAAAGAAATAGTGAGCTCCAGCACCGGTGGGTGGCTCCCAGGTAAACATTCTCTCCTGAGGCCTCCAAGAGTCAAAAGATGGTGTGCAGAGCTTCCTGAACCGTCTGCCTATCTTCGGCCCAGACCCCTTGCTCCCTTCCCTGCTTCCCACTCCCCCCCCCCTCTTGTAGCCTTAGGATCCATCATTTTAATGCAAAGCCAGCAGTCATCATGCTAGTTATAACCTAAACATTTTTAAACATGGGTTCAAAAAAATCCCCACACTTTCTGCACTTAGCATTAGGTACCAATTTGGTTTCTAGGGCAAAGCAGGCATTAATTAACATCTGTGTAAAGCTGGGTGTACATCATCTAATTTTTTCCTGGCTCTCTTGCGGAGCCCTGCAGTATGTCACGTTGTCACACTCTCTCTACCACCCCTCTGTGGCGTTCCTTTTAAGTTCTCTAGGGTCTTTGCATGCGGAAGGGAGTCATACCAGAGAAGCTGGAACCCTGAGTGCTTCTTTTCAGCAGCCCCTCGCTGCTGCAAGGCTGAGCTCTAGGGGCTCCTTGGAGAGCGTGGGCTGCCCAGGGGTGCTATTCCTTCAGGCCCAATCTGGTGTTCACTTGCAGGCTCGCCTCTGTCCTCCCCCAGCCTGGTCCTGGATGCCCTCCCACCCCGATGCTCCGGCAAACATTTCCAGAGGAATCTGAGGCCGCCAACTTGTTTCCTTTCTGCTCTGCGCCTCTCTATGGCTGCTGCTGCTGCTCCCTGCAGACGGGGGGAGGCGGGGATCTGCGAGGCAGAGTCTGCCTACACTGGGCCTCCTGATCCCGATAATCACAATGAAGGCTGCCGGGAATCGGGAATCGAGTGGGGGCTTTCTAGGGAGGCAGCGGTCCTGAAGTGGGGAGAGAGCTGAGGGGGCGGGGTGATGAACTGCTCTTAGCTCCTAGTTATCACCAGGCTTGGATGCAAAGAAACAGGTGGCCAATCTCTGTCCTCCCAGCTGGCAAGGGGGCATTTCTCAGCGCGTCTCCCCATGCTCACTAGGAGAAGGCACCGCGCAGACAATGCCACCTGAGAGACCTGTTGGAGTGGCTCTGTGATGGGCGGGGATGGCCCTCCGGAAAACCAGCCCGGGATCCACGCTGTGCTTAGTCTGTGCGACAGCTGTGCCCTTCTCTTTTAGGCTCTGCTGGCCTCTTCTTGCCTGTGTCCGGCGGCCGGCGACGTGAAGCTGGTTCAGATCCTGGGGCAGCAGAACAGGGCTCATTTCCTTGCCCTGATGCCCCCCTTCCTGCTTCCCTTTCCCCCCACAACTGGCTCATTCACCTCTTAGCTTTGTGTGCACATCCGACAGCGCGTTCGCCCTCAAATTTGTGGCACTCCAAGAAATCAATATAACATGAATTTAACGACAGCTGGATGATTAAGTGTTATTTATATTTAAGAGCGGCATTCTAAAAAGACGTCGCGCTAATAAATCAAACGGCTGTTGGGGAGATGCACATGATTAGGGTAATTGCCCTATAGGCTCCACTGAGCAATGCTTGGCCCATGCAGACACTACCTCTTTGGAAGCTGCCCCCTGCCCCCTCCTGCTGCTCCTGATCCTGACCTCCCACCCCATCCCCACCATCCCCCCCACTTACTCACTCTTGCCTCTCTCCTCACTGTCCAGGCTGGAGCATCCCAGTTGTGGCAGGCAGGTGGAGTCGAGTCAGGGACACAGAAGGGGGATCTGCTACTAAGTGTTAGGAGATGGGTCTTAAAAGTGAAGGCAGGCAGGAGGTTCCGATTCCCAGAGCAGAGGCCTTGTTCCAAAAGGAGGAGGTGGCTTCTCTGCTTGATATGAGGCAGCCTGGGAGAAAAGCTTCCTGAGTCCCTGCAGGAGTCTGTGCCAGCCCCCCCAGACCCCTGTCCTTACGATCATGTGGCATCACCCTCCCCAGGGAAGAGGCTGTGTGGACATTAGTATTTGCCCTTGTGAAAATAGCAGAAGGGAAAGGAATGATCATCAGTGATGATGGTGGTGGCTAATGTTTATTCAGCACTGACTTGGAGGAGCCATCATTTAAGTGGTTTATACAGGTTGGCCCATATCCTCCACGAAACTACCCAGAGAGGCAGGAACTGAGTTATTCCCCCCCCCCCCCCCGCATTTCCTGCATGAGCAAACCGAGGTGCCTGAGGTTAAGGACTTTGTCCAGGATCATACAGTTGGTGGGTGGTGGAGCCACCTCTCAACCCTAAGCGCACTCACCTCCGTCCTTCTCGCTGAGCTGTCTGCCTCCGTAGGAGACCTGTGAGGAGTGTAGGAGACCTGTGAGGAGCGTGTTGCCACCCTGGGGAGGTTTGTGGGAGAGTATGCTGAGGGCGCAGAGAATATGTGGTTTCTTCCTGGGACAAGTCTGTGACCCTGGGTGAAGCTATTTATTCTTCCACTCTCGATTTCCCCATTCATCAAGTGGGACGGCCTTATCTCTGACTGTTGGTGAGTTGTGAAATTGCATGGATCGTTCTAGCAGAGTGCTCAGTTTCTGAGGGTGACTCTTGCCTCTTTTGGCAACTCCCATTTCTCCCTGGGAAAAACTAAGGAGGAGTGAATGAGTGCAGCCCTCACCTGTGCTTTTGACTCTATGCAGCTCTGAGTCTTGTGCTGGTGGGCATCCAGTTGTCTCTAGTAAGGGCTTCAAATCTGCTGATGGTGTACAAATACCACTCTCTCATTTAATCCTTCAAACCATCCAGCAGGGTGAGGGACTTTATTCTCATTTTGATTGCGTAGGGATGGAGAGGGAATGCCTGAGGCTCCAGGACACTACATGGTGGATGGTCTCTTCACTGTTGGGCAAGGATGCCCGTGGTAGGGACTTTTCGGTTCACTCATTCATGAGCCCTAGAGTTCTAGATTTTGGAAGCTGGAGAATCTTGGAAAGCCAGGAAAGGAATCTTGGCCTGTGGACATCAGGTCACACTGGGCGCCTG